GACAGTGCTCCATACAGAAGTAGAGCTTTCTAAACACGTCAATTCAACTTAATTTTAATAATTATTTGGATAATTTTGGCTCTCGTTTTTTGAAACATGAGAACTCTTATGTAGCGAAGGAATCATATTTTTAAACAAAAAAATATTATATATATATATATATATATATATATATATATGCACACACACACAAACACACACATACACACACACATATATATATATATACATGCACAAACACGCGCGCACACACACACACACACACACATATATATTAATAAATGAATATTGTTTAGATTGTGATGAGATTGTTATAATTTGGGATGGACGTATGCGCTGTAAAAAACATGAGATAATGGATTTAACCGCTTTCTTTTGATCTTTCAACATTTTTGTGGTCGTGTTTATTGGCTTGGAAAAGTAGTAATTCTTTTAAATTAAAAGCACATTTTTAAAATTTTTAAAATTTTTAATGGTACTTTTTCCTCTTATCTTTTATCACACACACACACACACACATAGATATATATAAACATTTTTTCTTTACCTATTTACAGCGATGTTTCCAGCTGAGCGGTATATATATATATATATATATATATATATATATATATATATATGTTGATATGTTGATATATATATATATATATATATATATATATATATATATATATATATATGTTCATATAAACCAAATAATTAGATATTAGCATCTGTATGTACGTGCGTTAGCGTGCATACACAGGTAAGCGAATAAATATTTACTTACTTTAATATAAGATGTAAGCAAAACGTTGCTCAAAGTGATTAGACTATGCTAAGAATATATATTAATAAATATACATGTACCTACGTCCGAATTGCAATTTAAAGTTTCGTGGGTATCAAACATCAGGTACGAACTATTAGGGTTGAGTTTTTTAAACAAATACATACATCAAAATCGATCGTAATACTGGGTCTCATCGAAAATCGGGATTAGCATCTGTATGTACGTGCGTTAGCGTGCATACACAGGTAAGCGAATAAATATTTACTTACTTTAATATAAGATGTAAGCAAAACGTTGCTCAAAGTGATTAGACTATGCTAAGAATATATATTAATAAATATACATGTACCTACGTCCGAATTGCAATTTAAAGTTTCGTGGGTATCAACACATCAGGTACGAACTATTAGGGTTGAGTTTTTAAACAAATACATACATCAAAATCGATCGTAATACTGGGTCTCATCGAAAATCGACCGTAATACTGGGTCTCGCCGAAAATCGACCGTAATACTGGCTCTCGTCGAAAATCGACCTTAATACTGGGTCTCGCTGAAAATCGACTGTAATACTGGGTCTCGCCCAAAATCGACCGTAATATTGGGTCTCGTCGAAAATCGACCATAATACTGGGTCTCGCTGAAAATCGACCGTAATACTTCGTGCCTGATGAGTTGGTAGAACCACAAAAAATTAACTTTCACTTCGAACGTAGGCATGTGTATATTTATTAATATATTTATTTATATAAAAATATGATTCCAACGCTACATAAGAGTTCTCATGTTTCAAAACAAGAGCCGAAAACTTCACTATAATTATTTGAATTAAATTGAATTAAAGTACTAAGCTATGTTCCATCTTCAAGCGAAAGTTTTTTTGGAATAACTTATTCCTGAAATTTACGCGTTTTATAAGCATATTCATTATTAAAATTACTATGGTAACAGCTAGAGCAATAGTTTAAAGAAAAGGGGCGTAAGGGTTAATAATTTGTATCAATATCTCAGTTACATTCACAGACGTCAAGTCAGGGTAAGGTTGGGGTGTCTAAATTTAAAGCGGAAGATGACATCGTCTAGTCTGATAATCTCTGTACGACATGTGCCATATTGATACATATAGGAATGAACGTCTCCGTCTTCCATTTTTTTCTAACCCTTATTCCTTATGTTTCAAATAAGACTAAAGAAAAATGGTCAAATGGGTTCTGAGCTTCATGTAAGAACATAATCGAGGTGTATTAATCGGGCAGATGAACTTGTTGCAGAACCTTAGTAGTGAGTTCGATCCCTCCTGAATGCTCCCCATTTGTATCCTTGTGTCAAACTAACCTAAGCTGGCTAAATTACAATACTAAATTTGTTAGTAGCCTAAACTAACCCTATTACTTTGTCTTTGCAGCTTGCCTTATAAATGCTGGAACGAATCGACCTTTCTTTGATTCCCCGAGACTGGATTCTTCCCAAATGTCCCAAACAGATGCTAACGGTGGACGCTTGGTATCTCTAGACGTCGACGTAAAAACCCCCTTAGTCGATATGAACAGTACCGGTTCTCCCCCGAGCAGTCACAGCGACTGCAGCGATCACGGGGGAAGTCAAGGAGCTCCAACCCCCAATGGATCGCCAGAGGTGCATAGAAAGCCTATGCATTCCAAATTATGTAATATAACAGTCCAATTGGAATCTAAACAGTTGTGGGATCAGTTTGATAAACTTTGTACTGAAATGATCGTCACAAAAGCAGGAAGGTAAGATATTTTTTTTTATTTCCTTTACAAAATTAAGACATCAATACTTAATGATATTTGATTATTTCCAAGGTGCTTTTCCATAACAAAATATCTGTAACGAAACTATGCTATAACAAATTTATGCTCTAACAAAAATTATAATGTAATGTAATTTCCCATAACAAAACTTTCTATACATTATGAAATGGAAAAAGTCCGACAATTATTTTAAGACATTTTTATGTTTATACATTCTTTTTTATATAGATACAAATATTTATGTAAATGTTCTGTTTATAATAAACACTATTAAACAACATTTACCGGCCTGAATGTCCAAGAAATTTTCATAGAAAATATTCTTCCTCCGACAGGATTCGAACCTGTATCCTATACGAAATCCGTCACACATTATGAAATGGACAAAGTCCGACAATTATTTTAAGACATTTTTATGTTTATACATTCTTTTTTTTTATAGATACAAATATTTAAGTAAATGTTCTGTAAATAATGTGTGACGTCATTTGTTTACATTTGATACGCCAAATACTGTTTTTTATAAACAGAGCATTTACTTAAATATTTGTATCTATAAAAAAATGAATGTATAAACATAAAAATGTCTTAAAATAAATGTCGGACTTTGTCCATTTCATAATGTGTGACGTCATTTGTTTACATTTGATACGCCATGAGCAGATATAAATGTACGCGAGAGATTCATGGAAGATTAAAGTTTAAATACAGTAAATTCGACCTTGCTAGCTGAACGCGCCTCTGTGGCCAAGTCGGTAAACGGACGTCAAGCCAAATGACGGTTCCGTATAGGATACAGGTTCGAATCCTGTCGGAGGATGAATATTTTCTGTGAAAATTTCTCGGACATTCATGCTGGTAAATGTTGTTTAATACTGTTTATTATAAACAGAGCATTGACTTAAATATTTGTATCTATATAAAAAAGAATGTATAAACATTATCTATAAAAAAACAAAGAATGTATAAACATAAAAATTTCTATAATAAAATTACCTATAGCAAAAATGAATTCTAAATCTTTTATGTATTTTATTCATTATTATTATTGCTTGATTCGGTAGCTGTCACAGCGCTGATGGCAAGATGATCAAATTTTAAATCTAAATTGTTTGTATATTTAAAATAATATATTTATTGGAAAATATATTCAGTTTAAATACAAAAGTGGTCATAAATATAACTTAAAAGCGCTGGCATATACTTTTTTTTCCCGTTATCCAGGGGTTATTGCCTGACAGTAAAGGTAAATACAGATGCACAGAGGTGCATCACGGTTTCACTGAAATTGTATGTGTATGTACGTTTGCGTATGCGCATGTATATTTAAAATCAATCTCTGACGTAAAAAAGTAGTTATTCAAAATTTTCTTAAAAAAGCTTTTAAAATAACTTTTTTCATTATCGAAAAATTTCTGAAAAGTTCAATAAAATTTTATTACGTTTTTGATTTTTTTTTTTTAATGTTTAATTTTTTTTTGCGCCGAACTTTATGATTTTCTTGCTCAGACCTGGGTATGGGTTGTCCAGACTGTGTTGGAGAGGAATCTATTATTCCAATGCCTTATCAAACTCAAATAATGCGGACAGGGAAACAGCTCTTTTTTTATAATAACTTTTTTTTATTATTTAGTGACTGATTTCAAGTGGAACTCGTAGATACAGTCAGTCAGTTATGTGCCATGCGTGATACACGCTTAGGCGATCATGTATCTGACGAGGCAGATTTTTTTTCCGCAGTAGATTATTATTTCTTTCTGCAGTAGACCAGCTGCCATCCAAGGCAACCGGGCCTGTCCTGCTATTTACCCATAGCTCAGGGGAGAAGAAGAGGATTCATACCTTTCCCAAGGGTATTAGCTCGTAAGTGAATGTACTGGATTCGAATGGAATTCGAACTCGGTTCTTCGATCCCTCGATCCGAGTCGCTATTCATTACTCCATTACTCAGATACAATTCATTGCTAAAGGTGTTAGAATAAGGGTCCGTTTATTCTATCGCTCGCGAATGTGCCTGATTATTTCAACCATGCTTTATCATGCTTTACAAGTCTCAGATCAAACCAAAAAAAGAAAAAAGAAAAAAAGAAAAAAAAGGCGCCTTTTTGTTATTTTCTTTAAAGTTCATTAACAGTTTAGTGATCAGGCTGTAAACTTTGTTTTTTGAACAAGTCATTCGTTGTTTGAATTAACAAGAAACTAACCTTATTGCAAGAAGGTGGTATCATTGTTATGTCTGGCATCAGTTAGTCTTGTTTGCTGTCATTCCACCAACAAACTTTCTACTTGACATCTCTCTCTCTCGTTTTTGGTGATTCTATCCTCACAGACTTGCTCTATGCCACTTGGTCAACAAATGAGAGGCAAAAAGAGAAACAGAGAAACAGAATTGTATAAACACAAATACGCGTTACTCGCTCGATTTCTTTAACGATTCTCGAGAGATTATAATTACTAGTTTAATACAAACGAGAAAAGATGGAAAACGAACAGGAGAAAAGACGGAATACGAACAGGAGAAAAGACGGAATACGAACACAAGAAAAGACGGAATACGAACACGAGAAAAGACGGAATACGAACACGAGAAAAGAAGGAATACGAAAACGAGAATAGCCGGAATACGAACACGAGAAAAGACGGAATACTAACACAAGGAAAGACGGAATACGAACACAAGAAAAGACGGAATACGAACACGAGAAAAGACGGAATACGAAAACGAGAATAGCCGGAATACGAACACGAGAAAAGACGGAATACTAACACATGAAAAGACGGAATACGAACAGGAGAAAAGACGGAATACGAACACGAGAAAAGACTGAATACGAACAGGAGAAAAGACGGAATACGAACACGAGAAAAGAAGGAATACGAACACTAGAAAAGACGGAATACGAACACGAGAAAAGACGGAATACGAAAACGAGAATAGCCGGAATACGAACACGCGAAAAGACGGAATACTAACGTATGAAAAGACGGAATACGAACAGGAGAAAAGACGGAATACGAACAGGAGAAAAGACGGAATACGAACAGGAGAAAAGAAGGAATACGAACACTAGAAAAGACGGAATACGAACACGAGAAAAGACGGAATACGAAAACGAGAATAGCCGGAATACGAACACGCGAAAAGACGGAATACTAACACATGAAAAGACGGAATACGAACACGAGAAAAGACGGAATACGAACACGAGAAAAGACGGAATACGAACACGAGAAAAGACGGAATACGAAAACGAGAATAGCCGGAATACGAACACGCGAAAAGACGGAATACTAACACATGAAAAGACGGAATACGAACAGGAGAAAAGACGGAATACGAACAGGAGAAAAGACGGAATACGAACACGAGAAAAGAAGGAATACGAACACTAGAAAAGACGGAATACGAACACGAGAAAAAGACGGAATACGAAAACGAGAATAGCCGGAATACGAACACGCGAAAAGACGGAATACTAACACATGAAAAGACGGAATACGAACACGAGAAAAGACGGAATACGAACACGAGAAAAGACGGAATACGAAAACGAGAATAGCCGGAATACGAACACAAGAAAAGACGGAATACGAACAGGAGAAAAGACGGAATACGAACACGAGAATAGCCGGAATACGAACAGGAGAAAAGACGGAATACGAACAGGAGAAAAGAAGGAATACGAACACTAGAAAAGATGGAATACGAACAGGAGAAAAGACGAAATACGAACAGGAGAAAAGACGGAATACGAACACGAGAAAAGAAGGAATACGAACACTAGAAAAGACGGAATGCGAACACGAGAAAAGACGGAATACGAAAACGAGAATAGCCGGAATACGAACACGAGAAAAGACGGAATACGAAAACGAGAATAGCCGGAATACCAACAGGAGAAAAGAAGGAATACTAACACTAGAAAAGACTGAATACTAACACAAGAAAAGACGGAATACTAACACAAGAAAAGAAGGAATACGAACACGAGAAAAGACGGAATACGAAAACGAGAAAAGACGGAATACGAACACGAGAAAAGACGGAATACTAACACAAGAAAAGACGGAATACGAACACAAGAAAAGACGGAATACGAAAACGAGAAAAGACGGAATACGAACACGAGAAAAGACGGAATACGAACACGAGAAAAGACGGAATACTAACACAAGAAAAGACGGAATACTAACACAAGAAAAGACGGATTATACTCAACCCATTGCATGTTATAGACAGGGTTGTATATAGCATTATGTGGCAACCGGTTTAGGCGAAGGAAAACTCTGAATTCAAAATTGTATGCAGCGCTGGCGAAACATATACTATGAAGCTAAATGAAAGGATCGCTTGCATTGACTCGATGATCCGGACTATGGTCGATTTCGTTTTAGGCCTAATTTGTCACAAGGAGTCGGAGACGCTTTTGAACGCTATTGAAACTGGAAAGTGAGGACTGGGAAAAACCCCTCACAAATATGACAGCGGTACTTCATTTTAGGCCTAATCTGGCTTTTGTAAAGATAGAGGATTGCAAAAATGAGTCAAGTACTTACTGTTTTTTTTTAATTATATATTTTTTTTCAATCTGAGAAAGAGTGAGAGTCACCCGAAACGGAATATTAGAATTTACATCTTGGGTTGGTGCATAATTATCAGGCGTTTTTTTTTTTAATATTTTATATTTATAATAAAAAAAAGAAACATAGCAATTCAACAATAACATTTTTAAATGATTATTCCGGAGCGTATTATTATCACACGCATTTATATAACCTGAAAATAAAATAATATTTTTATTAAAAAAAGTAAAAAAAAACAACAGCAATTTTTATTAAATAATTCGACTATAAAAACGCCTGATAATTATGCACCAACCCAATAAATACATTAGCAAAAAACTCTTACTTGAGCTCCTCCTGATTTAAAGTCCGCTCCTACTACACTCAAAACACTCTGGCGATAGATCTGAAAGCCCCCAAAAAAAAAAACGGCAAATTTTCCCTCACCAAATTAAAAAAAAAAGCTTTTTCGCATAAAGATTGTGCAACTGTAGTTATCTAAAAAGATGAATGCGCGTTCACAACAGAAAAATTCTCTTGCGAAATGTCTGAGAATTTTACACACTGAGAAAAATAATTTTTGACTTTTAACAAATATAACCAGATGTGTATCTGTTGTGATGGGAGATTAGCTCTGCGGCAAATGGTTTGTTAACGGGTGTCGCTTGATCAGTATGAAAAAAAAGAAAAAGAAAGAAAATGCAAAGAACATTGGCGATAACCCAGAGTTTTGGATAATATTCACATTTGTCCTTTCTTCGATTCCTTCTTGCATTTACCATCTTTTTCCCACAAAGAACGAAGCAAAATCCTCAACTACCATTTCTGTTAGTGTTTTTTTTTTTTTTTTTTAACCACGCTACAGATTTTCCTTCGTTTCCATGAGAGCTGATATCGCAGTCAACACGTGTTGATAAGTAGAGAACGAATGGAATAACTATCATCTCATCACCTCGTTATGTCTCGTAATAAGAGATCACCCCTACCACCACCGGAGGCTGGCCCCTTATCTGTGATTCGCTTCCTCTTTTGCCCCCTCCTTTAAAAAAAAAATGTTTTCTAACTTTTGTGGATTTCTTTTTGTTTTGATTTCTTTCTTTATTTGTTTGATTGTTTCTAAATTACTCGTATTTACTAAGCTTAGCTCAGTATCAATCTAGAATGAGGAAAGAAAGATTGCATTGCGCCTCTACTTCATAATTAAGAAGACTTGCATACCTTGAAATTCAACATTTGATATTTTGATTTGGGCTCGAATAGCGGAAATCAATGTTTTGGCGCCGTATTTGTTTTCTCATATTTTATCTTTTCTTTCTTTCTTTCTTTCTTTCTTTCTTTCTTTCTTTCTTTCTTTCTTTCTTTCTTCTATTGTGCTTCTTTCGTTTCTGTATCTTTTTTTCTCTCAGCGTCTTCAGTTATTCTCTTTCCCTAAATGTATGGCGCTATGTAATCTACTCTAACTTTTGATTTCTACTTGTCTTCAGATTATTGTATATTAGATATTTTATTTTTCCATAAAATAGTAATATACTTGGTGAGCTAATCTTAATTCACATTATTTTGTTACTCTTAATTTAATTTTAGTCTTCTTAAGTGTAATCTTAATCTTAATTTTAATTTTTAATCTTAATTTGCTAATCTTAATTCAGCTTAAAGCTAAAATGAGTATAATACAGATTTGCGCTAATTTCCCATGTAGAAAAAACCTCTTTGAATTCAGTTCGAAATCTTGACATTTACAAGGACTTGAACGCCTAAAATTAATGTCGACTAGAAAAAAACAAAACAAAACAAATATGTTACCCACTATACAGCCCTCATTGTATATAAAATAATGATTTTGATATAATAGTATTTGGAAAATAATACATTCCTATAACTCTAGATACTTTCATAAAAATCCATACATTCAGTTAAAAATAAAAATAAAATTAACCTTGATAATGGCTAAAAGTATAGCTTAAAGCAATCGGACATACAGAACATTTTCTACAGACAATTTATACATAATGTATGCCTAGAAAAGAAAAATTAAATAAAAAACTTAATCATAGTTCTTTGTCATTCGTTTTTAAAGAAACTGGTAAAAAGGATCGTTTGTAGCCCAGTTACACAAAAGCGCTTGGTACAATGTACTTCCTCACTGCCAACAAACGAAAAAATATAAGAACGCTGTAAATAATAATAATACTGAAATAATAATAATAAAAAAGAATAATAAAATAATAAAAAATAATAATGAATAAAAAATTAATAATATTTTCCTTGTCAGTCATAACGAAAAATGTTTAAAAGAAAGGTGACTGCCCAAATATACATTAATCATATGTATGTATATATATATATATATATATATATATATATATATATATATATATATATATATATATATATAGCATCCATCCTCGTATACGGCGTAGGTCGGGAAGTATCTGACCATTCAATATTTGCGAAAAAAAAAATATCCTACCTAGGGCAATGGCAACTTTGCCCTCTTCAAAATGGCCCACTTGAAAGGTCTTACACATATTCTAGCGTCGCATCCACTTTTCAAAATAGTCCCAAAACTTCTTTATCAACATCAGATATGCCATTGCGTTCTCTTTAATCTCATCCACAGTCTAAAATTTCTCTTATCAGTGGCGATTTTAGCTTTTGCGAAATATGGAATAGGGATGCTGACCGATCTTAATGATGCATTATCTTTCCCTCAAATCCGCGAAACGCGAAGAAAGTGCGGGTGCATGTTAATGCTACAAGCAATAGAATCTCACTGTCGACTGAGTAACTTTACGGGAGAGTGTCTGTTTACATATGCATCCTATGATACATTCTGAATCTTTGCGTATTTTTTGCCTATTTACATCATGGTCACGCAATCGGTTCTTGTGATATCCGTAATATTTCTGATTCTTTTCAAAAAGACTTCGTTGTATATATACTTGAATCGGAGTTTAATTTTTTCTTCTGGTAAAGTGTCGTTTTGTAAGCTGATACCAGATTGCTCGACCAGGACAACGCACATGTTTAAATGAAACTAAATGTTTACAGCGTAATGGTCCTTCTTCTCTGCTATATGGATGCGAAACGTAAACCTTGTACAGCATGTAAGATATTGGAAAAAGTTCCACACACTGGCTCTTCGCTCCATACGGAAGCATATTCCAGGGTTGCACCACAAACCTTGATGGACTGGCCACGTCATCTGTATGGTGCAGCGTCACATTACCCGATGCCTGTTGCACGGAAAGCTTCTAAGTAGCAGAATACATCAAAACCCCGATCAAAGAAACGGTAAAAAGACACAATCAAAGCTGAATTACAATGGCGCAAGATCAAACGAAAAGAGCTCGAATAGCGTGTTATCGACGGATCGCGTTGACCTGTCATTGTCCAAGAAGACTCAGCAAACCTCAAAGAAGCTCAGCATCAAAAACTCACCCCAGTCAAAGAGAAGAGCGCAACCTACTTCCAGTGTCCTCATTGCTGTAGAGCCTCCAGAATGTGATTACGGAGCCACCTCTGGATGGCAAAACAAGTCTTCTGACCCGAAGGACAACCGTGCAGCTGCTGCCATAGAGCGGACTATTTTTAATCTCGTAGCGAGATTCCTGGATTTCTTGCCTTTAAAGATTGAATCAAACCTTTTCACATGATCCGTTATTTATGGATTCTACACTTGAGCGATATTCTCATAATAATGATATTAAAATTGGTTTCTTTGGAAAGAATAGCTTGATAACTGTTGAGTACGTATCGAAATTATGTTTATTAATCTCAGCTTAATGAGATATAAGGTTAGAGTTCATAGGCTGTAATTTGAGCACTATCCTCCAGCTTGGGCGACGGCCTGTGTGCGACGTTTGCTCATCTTCTATGTCTTCTTATCCTCTTTTATTTATCTTGTTGCGGAAGAAATCGCTTCACTCGATTTTTATGAAATTTTAAACAATATTTCCTCTGTTTTCTCTCTTTGAGCCTGGCTCCTGCCTTTCAATACGTTTTTTTTTTTCATCTCAATTTTCATCCTTCAGAAAGTCACGTTCTCGCGAGACTTCGCTGGTTTTTAATGACTGGCCTTTATAACTATAGACGGGATTATCATAGACCGATATTTTTTTTTATTATTTATTTTATTATTGTCTTCGGAATTCTCTACTTTTTTTTTTTTAGCACAGATGCTAAAATGTTAGTGATAAAATTTGCTGATTAGAACAAGGATTATTTAGAAAGCCTGAGACTGAAGCAACATTTTTAACGGCTATTTATTAGGTTCTTATTCCTGATGTATAGTCAAAGCACATTGAGATGTTTGAGATAAAGCAGGGATAATGAACGCAACACAGTGGAAAATTTAGGTTTGGGATTTTAAATTAAAACAACCAAAGAAAAGAAAGATGAGATGAATTTAGGAGAAATTGTTGCAAGAAGCAGAAATGAAGACGAGAAAGCAACATCTTGAACGAGAGGACGATGATATAACTGTTTTAAATTTGGTGCTGGATTGGAGAGTTTCGTGAACAGTAAGTTTCAACAAAACATATAATCCCAATTGTATTTGTTGCTTATGCTGAGACATTAATCTTTTTAATCTCATTGAGCAAGTGTGTGTCTCTAAATCATAAAAAAGATCCCCATAACCATAATTTGATTCATTTTTATATATGAAGACGTCTCACTTTCTCTTGTAAGAATTGATTTATATATATATATATATATATATATATATATATATATATATATATATATATATATATATATATATACAAATGAGATGGAAAGTTTAAAAATACAAATTGATCATCTCAGCGACCGACAGAAGAATCAGTTTCGCTCCCCAGTAGAAAAGTCTAATATCTGCAACAGGGGGTGAATTTTGGATATTCAGGGGTGAATTGTGACCACAGTAAGTTTCGTGGGGATGAGAGAAATTATAGAATTTGGCCTATCTGGCCTGTCACCTTGAAAAGGAATGGTCATTCTGACAAATGGTGAAAGGGCTGCATGGGGCAAGCCAGGTTGAGAAGCCCTGATCTACAGCATTATCGAGAATTTACGGATGATGTCTTTACAGTTTGCTGCTTATAATACGACTTACTCTCAAGAGTAAAGAATGAAAACTTCTAATATAAATCCACAGCTGCAACAGAGAGATTTACTCGTCTTTCTTTTCCACGCATAAAATATTTTAATCTCTGTTTTAATTGAGACAACCTAAGGTTTGAATTGTGAATTGGGAATATCAAAATCAAGCAGATATAGAAACGTAACTCTCTTCCTAGCGTAGTAACAGATGTCATATAGTGTTTCACAGGAATACGAAGATGGATATGTACAGCTAAAGATAGGAAAATGTAGATAGAAACAACAACAAAAAAAGTGCAATATGAGCACTGGTAAAAATAGTTGCTGAAGACGTTAAGTTTATAATACCCAGAAATTCATACACAGATGTCCTCAAGGACACATGGCACAGTGAATAAAGATAGATCCAGTGACAGGACCCAAACTGCGTGAGTTCAATACCGGGTTAAGGCAGTGGAGAACTTTCAGAAGGAAATTAACAGGAGATAACTGATAACTGACATCCATTAAACATGGCACGCGGAATTAGAACAGTCTAACCCATCCAGCAAAATAAAGGGTTAAGTTCGACATTCCAACCATCTGAAGAAGGCCGGAGCGTACAACGGCCGAAACGTTGTAATAAATATGGCGACAATGATGAGAACAAGAGTCCGAATAATGTAAATAATATACCTCATTTCAGAAATATAGACGA